TTCATTGACTCCAATCAGTCTTATGTTATTCTTCTTTGCATCATCTAGCAGCTGCTGGATTGATTTCTCATGGTCCCTTACAATTTTAAAGCAATTTTTCTTTTCCTGATCACTAATTGCAATCTTACCTTCTATATCTGAAATTCTGTCCTCACATTGGTTCATTCTGCTGTGCAGACTTTTGATGGAGTTTTTAATCTCCTGGAAATCTGTTTGAAATGGCAGGATGCCAAGCAAAGCAGTCCACAGCAAAGTCAGAATGTCAGGACCTTTTCAGTCCCTGTGAAGATCATGGTTACTCCCTCCTTTTCACCTGAGAGCTTTGGACATCCCCTAAGTTTAAGACAATGGAAACTTATGTTTACGATAACAGTATATGATTTTTCTAATGTAGGAAAATTCAGGAAAGTATACATTTCTCTCCCAAGCCCATTTTATTTAGCTCATCTCTTTTATTCACTGCTTTGTTTAGATTTTCAACCACTATTCACTACGTATGTAAAGGTTGGTGCAAGACTGAGGGGTTTGTTGAGTGCAGGACCTTCAGTTCCCAAACTTAAGCAGCTGTGGACAGACATGGACTGTAGGTCCCCCCTGCTGTGTGCTAGGGTATAGGGGCCATAAATGGGTAGGACAGGGTCTCTGCCATGGAAGAGATTGGCTCTGCAGCATCCAGCCCTTGCCAGGTAAGATAGTATTGAAGCATAGATATCAGGAGTGTATGGATTACAAGAGCCACCCTGGCCTTGTCTACATAATTTTGATTGGGTGCCCCTGCTGCAGGAAGAGCTGGGCTGGTGGAGGTATGCAATTCTTAAAATGTCTACTTCTAAAGTTACCTTCGAAAGCCCATAAATAAGGATATTGAAGTTGGTTCTGTAAGCCAGGCATGGTGATGCACACTTGTAATCACAGCACTTGGAAGGCTGAGCCAGGAGGATCGCCACGAGTTCAGTAGCGGCCTGGGCTACATAGTGAGTTCAAGGCCAGCCTTAATTACATAGTGAGACCCTGTCGCAAATAAAATAAAATAAAATAAAACAAAATAAAATAAAAGTTGGTCCTATACCTACAGACCTTTGAGTCTTCCTAGGAAATGTTAAGATTTCCTAAAATTCTAGTGTCTTGTATGTTGGTTTGTTGGACCTCATTTCCCAGATTAGATTAGCGACGATCTCATGAAGCACGATACAGTTATGAGAACTTACTGGAGAACTTTATTTTCCGGCTGGGACCCATGTACACTCCAACCAAGTCGGAGGACAGAAGGCACCTAATGAAATGAGGACTGCACATTTAAAGGGAAAACCCACAGAAAAAGTCCCTCTTCCCATTCCCCTGGGTTACAGATTGTTGCAGGAGCTGGTTTCAGAAGCCAACATAAACCCAGTTAGTTCCTCCCATTCCTCTGGGTAAGGGATTGTTGCAGATCACATGCAACACAGTATCTGTTTATGGTTACATGCATAGGTTAGGGGTGGGGTTTTCTCCTGGGAGACAGTGTGCAGCTGGAAGTCACATATTTACAAAATGGAGGAGAATGTTCTCAACATGGTGCTGGTATTGCTAAATTGCCAAGCTGTGTCTCACAGGTTTAAAGATAATAACACATTCTTTAAATTGGCAAGTTTCTGCATCATAGCAAATAAGGCTATTAGAAACAAAATTTTATGATTCTAAGGAGAAAAATGCTTATTTGCTGTGATCTTTTTGAAAGGTACACTCATTTGAAGAGCTACAAAATCAGAATTAATTTTTGCATTTCATTAGTTAAAAACATATTCAAAATTAATGTAATATAAATTTCCTTTTAATTATAGTTTTTGCATTTCATCAGAAATCAGAATTTTTGCATTCATACATGTAACTATTAATAAGACACGTGTGGACATTTGCTTTTAATTATTTGTTTTTATTATTAACTCCAAGTCTGAAAATAATCCACACTTAACAAAATTTAAGAATGGACAGCATTAACGACCCACTTTGGAGTGACCAGTTACCCCTTTGTCTTCTTTAGAAATCAAGTATTACGATGAGCTGTGTACTGGAATGGCAGAGGAACTGAATGCTGTCATTGTCTCCATCGAGTAAGTAATTCATGCTAGTCGTAAGAATTTTTTTTATTAAGAAGAGATTCCAGGTAAAGGTTCAGTAACTTTATTTTGCAGGTGATAAGATAGAATGTAAAATAGAGCCAGGTGTGGTGGTACACTCCTGTAATCCCAGCTACTTGGGAGCTGAGGCAGGAGGGTCTCAAGTTTAGGGCCAATTGGGGGAACTTAACAAGACCCTGTCTCAAAATAAAAAATAAAAAGGCTGGGGTTACAGTTGAGTGAGAAGACCCTGGATTCAATCTGTAGCCTTGAAGGGGGAAAAGAAGTGTAAAATAAAGGTCCAGAGGTGGAGAGATTTGCTCAAGTTCATACTCAGCATAATCAGAAAAGAATGACTTCAGTTTTCATGAAAACGCCTTGAACTAGCTTTAATAACACCATAACACCTTGAGTTACCTTTAGTTTTGAAAATTTCTGGAAAAGGAATTAAAAACTAGGAAAGTATACATTTACTTGCTTTATTTTTTGAGGCAAGGTCTCACTATATAGTTCAAGCTATCCTTGAACTCACTATGTCCAGACTGGCCTCAAACTCACAGTGATCCTCCTCCCTTGGCCTTCCAAGTGCTGGGATTTACAGGTGTGTGCCACCATGCCCAGAAATTACCTTCTTTTTAAAATTAAAAAGTAACGGAGATGTTAAAAAGAATCTCTCCTACAGCCAAGAAATGAAAAAATTACTGTCTAAGCATCAGGTTCTATAACTTGGGCCTTGTGAATAGCAATAAGTATTTAAAACATCTTAATGGTATAATTATTAGTAATAGTAATCATATTATTCTTTTGAGTTGTGTCTACCAGTACTTTTTAAGCTACTTTTCTGGGCCGCTAAGAAAAATGGGAATAAGAATAATAACCCTCTGGGAGGCTGAGGCCAGAAGATTGCAGCCTGGGCAACTTAGCACCTTAGCAAAAGGGGAATGGAAAGTGGGAGGGGTAGGGGAAAGGATAGAAAGGAATGGAATTAATATGAGAAAATGAAAAAAATGGAAACAAAGTCTTTGTAAACAGGGAGGGATGGAGGGGTTGAAGGGAGGGCAGGGGAATGGGGAAAAAGTATGAACCAAGATAGATTATGTAAAGGTGCAAATTTCCAATGATGAATGTCATTATAGTGTATATCTATTATGTACCAATAAAATGAATAATATGAAAAAAACCCTGTCTCAAAAAATTTTTTAAAAAGCTGGGGATTAGCTCAGTGTGAAATCTCTGGGTTCAGTCCCCAGTGCCACAAAAATTATAACTATCTATATCTATGTATCTGTATCTATGTATCTATGTCTCTACCTATATCCATGTCTCTATCTGAATCTATCATCTTTAGCTATACCTGTGGGATGGATGGAATGAGTCATCTTGAAGGGATAAGGAATTGAATCCAGGTCAGATTGCTTCCAAGATCCCTATGCCTTTTTGATTCAGTATCAAACCAGTATTGGAGGAAGTAAGGAGCGCTGAGTGACAGGGTGCAGCTACACCCCATCATCCACATTCCGGGCCTCAGGCTCTTTCAGGTCTCTGCTTCCTCTCCCTCTCTACCTGATCCTCTCTAGCAATCAGGGCTCCCCTTTCTTGCCTCTGCTCCAGATCTGAGATCTCGGAGAATCTTTTCTTCTGCACTCTATTGGAAAGGCTGTTCTCTTGTGTCTGTAGACCACTCTGACCTTGTGAATAGAAGCCTGACAGTCACATTGAGTGGTCCTGTGGACCACTGACAGCTCTGAGGCCTCCCTGAACTCTCACTCTTGGGTGACGCCTAGTTCACCCAGGAGCTCTCAGTGAGAAGCTTCAAGAAAGTGATCATATCTTTTGGCCAGGACAGCTGGCCAGAAGAAAGCAGCCGTTGTTTAAGCAGCCAACCCCCCCATTCTGGACCAAAGCACCCCAGCTCAGTGTAGAGGAACAAGCTTCTGGGGCCTTCAATGGTTTCCTGTGTGACTCTAGCTCCTTGCAGGCCTGAGAAAGGGAGGCTGGACTTGTTTCACTTGGCACCATGAGTGAAACTTATTTCATGTGACCTAAGATAACTTCTTTTACACTAATAGACTTATTTTATATTCATAAACTTAAGTGCAGGTCAGTTATAACGTCCGCATCTGTCTCAAGCAAAACCAGTGCTCTTTTTTGAGTCTAGGCTTACCATAAAACACAGAAGGATGGCTAAGATGTTTTTAAGATTTTTTTTTTTAAAAAAGGGAACTGCTGCTGTCATCTTAACTTTCCAGTGTGCCTACTCTCTATAATGTAGCCCCCATAAGTTTATCTACTGGGAATTACCACAGTGCAGGGTTCAAGTATGGTTACCTGGTTGTGTGACCTTTGGGCAAATGACTTAAATTTATGTGCAAAATTGGTTTCAGAGTCCTTCCTGGTGTTTCAAATGTGACTACTGGGAACGGAAAACAGTACCCTCACTTTGGGGTCCCCAGCATGTAGTACAAGACTTAGCACATGCCTGCCAAGGAAATGCCTATTGAGTTGAGATAATAACTTCAGAGAACTGCCAGGGATCAGCTTAGACAGTGAGTATAAAAGGGCTTCGGATGTTTTAAGGCACTAGACAAGTCCGCAGGATGAGTGCCATAGCCTGTAGAAAAGAAGGTAACTTACAAACTGCTTATCAACGTGTGTTTGGAACTCACAGCACATTCTGGTTTTTGGTTAGGGTCCCGGCTGGCCAGCCACAGAGAGTGTTATAACTTGTGCTCCACTTGAGATGTAGCCAAGGTCATATGATCACGTTTCTCTTGAATAGAATGCTCAGAGATCTAACTCGGGACACACTTCTTCTCACTGCCTTAGGCCTTTTTGTTCTCTTCCATGAATGCTGACTGCACCCCTGTTCTGTGCCAGGTACTGTGCTAAACTGCGGTGATGTGCAGGGTAAGACTCAATTCCTGCCCTCACAATCTGGAGGAGAAGAGAAACCTTGAACACAAGATGTTCAGTGTGATGAGTTATGGGAAGGAAAAGGGCGAGGAGAGATGGATCCAATCTGACCCAGATGCAGTTCCCTGTCCCACCTATGCAAGGGTGTGCCTAGTTTGAAGGGTACAAAAGGCATTTTAAAATCATGCTTGCATCGAACCCCTGAGCATAAACAGAACCTATTTAGACCAACTGCCTCTGTCGTGGAAGTGTGATGAGAGGGCTTGTGAGGGGAGGAAGGAGGCAGAGAGCATAAAGTGTGAGAGAAGACATAAAAGGGCTTAATGAGTCTTCAGACCCTTGGGTCTCCTCGAATTCCACCTCCTCCAGGCAGAGAAGCTGTCTGCCTCTGGCTGTTCCTTGTCCTTGAGGTCTGCAACAGTGTGTGGAGGGGTCAGGACTTGGTGGTATCATGAGCTGTGGCCTTGGGGAAGATTAGAGCTTAGGAAACCTGACAGGCCTGGGTGATGGCAGCCTGGTCACGAGCACTTTGTGTGATGGGAGCACCGGGCGTTGGAGCTTCTCCCTCCCTTCCTGTCACCTGTGCTGCTACAGGGTCTGGGGACAGACCCAGCAAGTGAGGTGGGTAAAGACCGTCAGTTATGCAAAAATAGGTAAATGCTCTGTCTGGTACTTAGTATCTTCTACAGCATTGCTGTCTTTACACATTAATTGTACACTCTTTGGGAAATACATGGAAAAGTTCACCTTATCTAAGTTACATGGGTGTATCCTCATTCATATAACCTAGGATAACCTTACTTTACACTGATAGACTTCTTTTATATTCATAAACTTCAGTACTTTTAGTTATAACATAGTGCCTTTTTTACTTCTAGTTTGTCAAGTAAAACACCATACCAGAACCATAAAGCAGAAAGAACAAGAAACATTTAGTATTTTTTTTAAAAAGTAAGATGCAAGAAGACAAAGTATTAGGTATGTTGGACATTATTAAATTCTACAAGAGATTTACCTGACTTTTTTCAGTGTGGAAAACTATTTCAAGTTGTGTTTTGCTTTTAATTAAATTTTTACTGCACTTGTAAACTGTTTTATGTAGGTGCCCTAGACCTATCCGCATTCCACCAAATGTCACCAAATGTCACCTGGCGATTAACAGAACTTATGGCTTTAAAGAACTGTAAGGAGGACTATTGCTAATGCAAACAGACTAGACCCTGGAGTGCTGCTCTTAGTTTGATGTTCACACAGTTATAAGCAATGAGACTTTGATGCTTCTGGTTTATTCCGTCTATAAAATCACATAAATGCAAGGTGGCAAAGTCACAGTGCTTCTGTGAGGCACAATGGAAGGCACATCTGCCTGAGTAGCAGTGTGTATAAGACAGTTTGAGAAACAGGAAATGACAGTGACCTTGTTGTGAATTTCCCTTTCTCCTTGTCCTGCTCTTCCTCAGAGTCCTGAACAGAAAATCCTCACTTATCACCCTCATTTGGATACCCGCAAAAGGTGGGCAGATTGAATTCTGAAGAGTTCCACTGCACAGCAGCAGAAGCTTTGTTCAAAACATGCCTTTCACTCAGTCATGCCAACTGTAGCAAACCTAAGTAGTCACAAATAATTTAATACTACAGAGAGAAAATGCTGTGGCTTTGTGTTGGTCACTTTCCTGTTACTGTGACAAAATACTGACACCTGCAACATAAAGGAGGAGAGGTTTATTTTGGCTCATAGTTTTAATGGATTCAGTGTGTGGTTGATTGATTGCAAAGCAGAAACGACAAGATGGAAGAGCATGATGGAGGAAAGCTGCTCAACCCACGGCAGCTGGAAAGTAGAGAGAGACAAGGGAGGAGTCAAGGATAAGAATACATCCTTCTAGATCATGCCGGCAGTGACTCACCTCCATCCAGCTCCCACCTCCCACCAGCACATTTGGCCATGAACTCATTAATGGATCAATCCACTGATTAGTATGGCACCCCTCTGATCCAACCACCTCCCCAAAGCTCCACCTCTGAAAACATGAGAGGGGGCATTTTAGACCTACAGGTTTCTTCTAAAAAGTATTTTCTTC